AACAGACGTCGCCACGGCCTGCACAGTCCGGGGTGCGTGTATATTGTGCGTGTGTGTGTGTGTGTGTGTGTGTGTGTGTGTGTGTGTTATGCATGCGTGTGTGTGTGTGTGTGTGTGTGTGTGTGTGTGTGTGTGTGTGTGTGTGTGTGTGTGTGTGTGTGTGTGTGTGTGCACAATGTGAATATGTGCACGAACATTTGCACGTTTGTGCTTGCAGGACATCGTGTGTGCAACAAATCAAAGACTGCGTTAGCAGGTTCTCGATGGCCACCCCACCTTTGTCATCCGGAGGAGGAGGTCTGCTGTCTCTGACGGAGACGTAGTGAGTCGGGGATACACCTCTGCATCCATCTGCAGCCACACCAGCACGTGCTCGGCTGGTGGTGGTGGTGCACGAGGTGTGAGGAGCGATCAGCAGTGGCGAGAGAGGGAGAGGGAAAGGCGGAAGAAGCAGGAAGAGGAAGACAGACTCACAGACAGACAGACGGACGGACAGACGGACGGGCAGACAGACGCAGACCCAATTGCAGCTGCACAAACGGACCGATGACGCGTGTGACGCTGGTGCTGGGTGCGCTGTTGCGGGCGGATCTGCTGGGCCGGGCGGATCTGCTGGGCCGCTTCGCCGACCTCCCACCGCCGCTCTCACCGCCGTGCACATGTGCAACGAATGCGCGGTGCTCCTTGCTGTCCTGCGCACGGAAGAAGCGTTCCAGCCCTTCAATCACAAGCGTGATCTGTACAGTGACGGCGATTACAACAAGTCGTGTCAGCGGTGAACCGCACCCGTGTACTGTAATTGTACACAGACACACAGACACACAGACACAGAGTCTCCCAGTCTGCAATGAGCGGGACTGCACGTTGGCTGAGCGCACCTTCCATGTCGGGTCAATGACGGCCTTGATGGAAGCAATAAAGTCCTTCAAGCCGCTCTCCTTGTCAATGAGAGTAACCAGCTCCTTCCCTGACACCTGAGCCAAGGAGGAGGGGAATGTGAGTGGTGATATGGAGGGCTGACTAGTTGAGGATACGATGTGTCACACACACACACACACACACACACACACACACACACACACACACACACACACACACACACACACACACATGCGGCGTACCAGGACGAGCAAGTGTGGCTCGTCTTCGAGGGTGGACACAACTTGGGCCTGCTGTGTGTCCACAGAATCGCGCCTGCGCTGCCACCACACTGTACGGCCCAACGCGGCCAGTGGACCGTCGTGCTCCTCCACGATGGTGACATCGTGTTGCGACAGCGTTTCCCGCAGCGCCGACCGTGCGCGATCCTGATGCGCGCGCGTGTGTGTGCATGAATAAAGATGAGCACACGTTCATGCGCACAGCTGTCAATCAGCTGCAAGCCAAACACACACACACACGCACGCGCGCGCACACACACACACACACACGCACGCACACACACACACACACACACATTATCATCATCATCAAGCACCTTGAGCAGCGCAGAAGAGATGTGGCACCTCATGGTGGCGAGGTGAGCAGCCACATCTTTCTTCTTGGACGTGGCACGCACAAGCTTGCGCACCGCAGTGCTGTGTTCCTTCTGCTTCTTCCTCTGCTCTCGCTCGCGCTTTCGCTGCTCCTTCGCCAGAGCTTGCTGCTCCCGTCGCGTCATTGTTTGCGCTTGGTCCCCGCTGCTGCTCCGCGACGGCTCTGCCTGCGTTGTCGTCCCCACCTTAGCCTTCTTGCGTGCGTTGACACGTACAGCCACTTCTCTGCTGCCAAAGCCATTGTCGTCGGCACTCTCGTTGTAGCTGTGCTTTGCTGTTCCGACGGCTAGCTGCGTGCTCGGTAAGCTATCGCTATCACTGCCGTGACCGTCGTCGTCGCTGCTGTTGTCTGGTTCAGTGTCACCGCCTCCGTCCACAACTGCTGTGCCTCTGGCCTCACGGCTGCCGGGCTGACGTTGATGCTGCCGCCGCTGCTGTCGCCGTCGTAGCGGGTGCGGAGACGTGGCCGCTGTGCTTGCATCGCCCAGATCCAGCTGCAGGCCCGAGCACACTTTGTTGGCGGCAGACCCCGTGTGCTGCGCCATGAGCGATGGCCGACGCTGGGCCAGCCGCTCCGCCAGCGACAGCAACGGCACCCCTTCTCCGTCGTCATCGTCGTCATCGTCGTCATCGTCATTTACATCATCTGTGGCAGAGAGGTCGCACACCCAGCTACCACTGCTCACCACAACAAGGTCATCATCACCATCGCCACCATCGTCAACATCCCTGCTACTGACAACCCCCTCCATGGCCACTGTTGGTTGCTTCTTGCAACGGTTGTTTGGTTGTTGTTGGTGGTGGTGGTGGAATGTGATGTGTGACTTGCTGCATGGATGGATGGATGCGTTGGCTTGGATAAGCCGAACTGGTTGTAATGTGTGATGAATGACAAGCGTGATGTGACACCGAGGGGAGGGCACGCAGAGAGAGAGAGGGAGAGAGAGAGGTAGCAGGCAGATAGTTGGATACCACGCAGCGAAGAGAGAAAGGAGAGAGACAGATCATCGGCCCTCGACGCGAAGGCGGTCGAGTGTGCTGTAGCCAATGGACTGCAGCATGTCAAACGTGTCCTGATCCACGGGGATGGTGTCGTCGGCGTGGATGGCAGAGACCTCGGGCACGTAGTTGTCGCGGCGCTCGCGCTCCTCCTCCTGCAGCTTGATGGAGATGCCGCGCACAGGGCCCTTCTGCCCTCCCCAAACCAGCAGCAGTGACAGCGGGTGAGACGGGGGTTGCGGGGAGAGGGGGGAAGTGGGCGAAGAGGGGAAGGGGTCACGCGACACAGATGACATGTATGGGACGGAGAAGGACGACACGAACCAAGCAAGCAAGAAGCAAAGAAACCAACAACAACAACAACAACAACAACAACAACAACAACAACAACAACAACAACAACAACAACAACAACAACAACAACAACAACAACAACAACAACAACAACAACAACAACAACAACAACAACACACACCTGGATGCGCTTCATGAGGTGCGTGATGAAGCTGTTGTGGACATGGTGATGAAAGTGCAAGTGCATGCCAGTTGTCGTAGCGATGACAAGCGACACCACACAGGCAAGCGACACCACACAAGCAAAAACAGCGCAGCAAGAACGGTGCATGTGGTCGACAGTGCGTGTTCGAGTGCACAGCAAGAGCAAAACGCCAAGGCACGCGCAATCGCGTGTGGGCGAGTGTGCATGCATGTGTGCACGGGCGTGTTTCATGAGCTCCAAAAAGAAGAAGAGAACCACATGGATGCGCCTTCCTCCCACAATCAACAAGTGATTGCAGGCAGTCATCCCCTTGTGTCACGTCGAACCCACCCTCCTCAGCCTTGAGGAGGCAGCGAGCGGGGTGGGCGACAAACACGCTGGGGATGTGCATCAACCTTCCTCCCACAAAGGCCCCCCGCAACCAACATATACAACATGGGGTGCGTTTTGTCACAGGGACAGCACACACACACACATGCGTGCTTGTGGTTGTTGTTGGGTTGGGGGGAGGGCCAAATGTTGGGCAGTCGCATTCACATCACAGACACACGTACCCAGCAATCTGGTTCCGCAGCCGCTTCGAAGGCACAATCGCAAACTCCTCCACCAGCTGCAGCGAGTGTGTGTGTGTGTGTGTGTGTGTGTGTGTGTGTGTGTGTGTGTTGTTTGCAGTGAGTACGTGAAGCAAGTAGTGGACCAAATGCACACGATTCACTGCAGTGCACGCACACGTGCTTTCTCCCGCACATGCACACGCGCACGACGCACACGACGCACACTTCCATCAAACCAACAAGCCATCCCCACCCACTCTCTTCAACAAACACACACACACACACGCACGCACAAGAGCAAAGGCTTTTGACGTACGCGCTTGTTGGTCTCAAAGTCGTTGGTGAGGCGAGTGTAGTACTTCTCAATCATGACCTTGGCGGCCTTCTTCACCGTCTTCGTGCGCACGCGACCCATCTTGGTTGGCTTGCTTCTGCGACTGGAGATGCGAGAGAAAATTAGTGGTGTTTTCCACAAGTTGTCTTGTATCACGCCTTTTCCCAAGAAGCAACTTTTCCTTTGTTGCTGGTGCTTGTGGACGGTGCTGCTTTTTGAGACACTGAGACAGAAGGACAGGACACCCTTCCTGCCTCCCTCCTCAGATCAAAGAGAAGCCGAGAAGCCGAGAAGCTGCTAAGTAAGCTGAGAAGATCCCACACTTCACGAACCACAGAAGGAGTGTGCTGCGCTGCCTGAGGTGCCGAGTGGGAAGAGATCAGGAGATCACGAACTCACTCACGAGACTCCTGGAACTGCGCGCACAACCAACTACAAACAGTGCAAGCAGTGCACAAGAAAGCACATACAAGAGAACGAAGAACAGAAGAACACACCTCCCTAGCCCGGAAGTTCCAGTCTTCCTTCCAGCCTTCCCCTTCAACCTTCAACGGGAAGCTTGTCCAAAGCCGCTTGCAAGCTTGCTTTCCCATCTCGCAGCGCAGTCGCTACCCATCAAGAAGACCAAAGGACCAAATTATCATGGACGACAGAAGAGTGGCGGCGGCTCAGAGGCCAGATGCCGAAACGCCACAAGAACATGAACAACACCACCACCACCAACAACAACAGCAACAGCAGCAGCAGCAACAGCAGCACCACGTGCAGCCCGGCATGCAAAACGAAGAACAAGGCCAAGAGCAGCCCGCTGTGAACGTCAACAGGCAGGGTAGAGGAGATCTGCACCCTGACAGCGACAGCAGTGACAACAACGACGACAACTTGCCTGCAGGCACGCAAACCCGCGCGGACAGCAAAGTGGTCGACCACGCGACAGCATTCTCCGAGGATGAGCAGGACGATGGCCATCATGTGTTGCCTGATACGAAGATGGATGGCGCCAGTGGATCAGAAGAGGACGACATACTTCCGTTTGAGTTTGATGAGCAAGGAGACATCGAAACGCGGGCGTTGCTTGGGCCCATGATTGCCAACGCCCGAGCTCGTCTGCTACCTAGGCGAGGTGGGCCCACTCATTCTCAGCAGCCTGGTTGGATGTGCAACCGGCTGTCTTCTGTGCTCAACCGCTGCACCACTCGTCGACTGGTTATGATTGGCATGGCCGTGCTGTGCCTTGTCCTGATTGTGGCTGTACCCGTTGCGGTTGTGCGAAAGCGCAGCGTTGGAGAACCCGGTCCAAGCGAAGCACCAAGCGAAGCACCAAGCGAAGCCCCAAGCGATGAGATATTGAGCTGCGACGATTATGACAGCCGTACTCGCTTTCAACAGGACCACGTCAAGACCGCGTTCTCGGTGTCTGCCTGTTGCTGTCCAGAGGTGTCCAACCTACGTGCCATCACGACTGACTTGTCTCTGAGCTTGTCGGAGCGCGAACTTCTTCTCGGGCACATCACCTCCATCAGCGGACAGATTTATGGCAGGAATGGCGCGTTGGAGACGCTTGATTTTGGCGATCTCAGAACCCTTGAGCATGGGGTGGACCTGTCCCACAACAGCCTCACGATGGTTGACTTTCTTCAAGTTGAGCGTATTGGCAACATATTCTTGGACAGGAACGCCATCCACCTGCTCGATTTTGGCAACCTGAAGGCGGTTGATGGGAGCGTCGACCTGAGCGACAACAAGCTCCGGCGTTGGCCTGCCAGCAATCTTGAGGTGATTGATGGACTCCTGAACCTAGATGGCAACGAACTGCAGTCCTTTGAGCTCGGAAAGCTGAGGCGGATTCGCGGAGATCTGGTCCTGGGTAACAACAACATCGAGGACTTGTATCTGGACAGCGATGGCGAGCCAGGAGTAGTTATTGAAGGCGGTCTGTATGCCAGTAACAATCGCTTGCGTCGAGTGCGGTTTGGGCGGCTCTCCAGCATTCAAAGCTTGGCATTGCGTGACAACAGCCTACAGTCGATTGACTTTGGCCAACTGACACAGATTGGCGGTCTGCCTAAATGGCCGCGCAACACTGACCGCAGTTGGTCGTTCTGGTATGGGTTTCTTGATGTGTCCAGCAACAATCTCACCTCGATTGCGTTTGGGTCGATTCGACTCGTGAACGGGTCTGTGAACGTGGGTGACAATCGCCTTACTTCCATAGACTTTGGCGAGCTGACTTGCATTGGCGGTGACTTCAGTGCTTCCCGCAATCAGCTCACCGCGCTCGATTTTGGCCGCATCCAATCAATTGGTGGCTTAGTGGACCTGAAGCACAATGCGCTGACCAGCGTTCACTTTGGCGAGATGAACGTGCTGGATGTCCGGCTGCAGTTCAATCCCTTGTCCAACATCACGTTTCGATCTGGCACCAAGGTTGATTTTGGGCTGTGGCTTTCCAAGAACCAACTCACATCCTTGCGGATCGGTGGCTTGGCAAGCACGACTGGCGCCATAGACTTGATGGACAATGACCTCACGTTCTTGGACCTTGGAGAGCTCACACATGTTGGCCGCCTTGAACTGGGTGGCAATCTGCTAACGTCCATTCACCTGGGAGATCTACAGAGCGTGGGCAGCAACGGCAACGGTGTCGTTTCGATGAATTACAACCCAGTCACCAAGATTTCCTTCAACTCGCTTCCGCGCATCGCGTATGGGCTCGAGATTACGAACACTGACGTGAGTAGACTGCACATTGATGGAGTCTCGGTCATCAGTGGCTCTCTACGCCTCAGCGAGAACAAATTGTCGTCCCTTGATCTGGGAACGCTAACGATGGTTGAAGGTGACGTGGACCTGAGCTGGAACAAGCTGACTGAGAGTTGGCACGGCAACCTGGCCCATATTGGCGGCTTCCTCTCCCTCGAAAACAACGACTTGACGTCGTTTGACCTTGGCATCACCAACTTGTTCGTGGGAGATGGAATCGACCTGGAAAGCAACAGTTTGACCCACTTCAGCTTTGGTAAGATGGACACGTGCACGAGCCTGTACCTGGACTCAAACAAGTTGACAGTGCTTGACTTTGGCCGTGTTACCAACCTTGAGACTGTGAGTGCCAGGCACAACCAGCTCACTCGCCTTGAGATTGGGGCTGTGACCACGCTCAAAGAAGTGTATCTGGACAACAATCAGCTGGGCAAGCTGCATCTCGATGGGCAGAAGGGGTTCATGACTGAGCTCAGCGCTAAAAGCAACCGGCTCACGTCTGTCACCTTTGGCGACGTGACCAGAATTGACTCTCTGTCGCTCGACAACAACTTCATCTCCCGGATTCACTTGCCTTCCGTGCCTTCTCACTCCTGGAGAACCGTAAGCCTCATGAACAACTCATTGACGCAAATCAGCTTTACGGCACCCACGACTGACGTCAAACTCAACCTTGCCAACAACGCATTCACCGCGATTCGCCTGGAAAACATTGACAGCGCGGATTTCCTGAACTTGAATGGCAATCAGCTGACCGAGGTCGACTTTGGAAACATGAGCACGGCGCACTCAGTCGTCTTGAATGAAAATGCCATCTCCAGCGTCACCTTCGGCGCGCTCACAAGCATCAACTTTCTCTCCATCAACGAGAACACAATGTCATCACTGACGCTAAATGGAAGCTGCGTCCACGTTGGTTACAAACTCAACATCTTGGACAATGGCCAGCTGATCACGGTGGACGTGAGGGGCCTGAGTGACGCTGGTCAGGTCATCATCTCACGGAACCCGTCGCTTCGCAACGTCAGCTTTGCCAGTAGCAGCACGTCAACAAGCATCAAGACTGCGCTGAGGATGGTTGGCAACGCCCAGCTGACGTCGATTGACTTGGCTGGGCTCGCTGAAATTGAGGGCTACATTGACGTGCGCAGCAGCCCACGTCTGCAGTCTGTGAACTGCAGGGGTCTGGGGTCGTGTATTTGTCACGACAGCGGCACAGCAACGGTGAATTGCCCGCTTCGCTGCCATCATCACGAATGCAAGGACCTTGACGATGATTTAGTGTGAGGTCATGTACTGTCCTTGTGTGTGTACGTGCTGTGCTTTGTGTTGCTGTGAGTGAAAGTGAGGGAGTGAGTGAAAGTGAGGGAGTGTGTGTGTGTGTGTGTGTGAAAGTGAGGGTGTGAGAGAGTGAGGGTGTGCTGTGCTGTGTTGCGTGTGTGTGCGTGTGTGCACCTTTTGCATAATGCTGGTTGACGCCTGCCGTCCCAGGCTGTAGCGTTCTTGTGTGACCTCTTTTGAGCGTTGTTCCTGTCCGATCTTTGCTTCTTGTCATTCACGTCCTACCCCTTGAAGCCGCTTCCTGGCTTCCTGCTTTTCTGAGTTTGCATGCGTTGTTTGAGTCGTGTGTTGTGGTTGCTTGTTGACTGTGCTGCTCAGGCTTTTGTTATTCCATCAACCATACAGTTGCCATCCGTTGTAGTTGAAGTGAGACATGACAGTTGCATGGTGACTGGTTTAACAAAACCCTCACATGACACAGCAAACGCGAATAAGTGGCAGTTGCGGGACAAAGGGAGAGAGAGGCAAGTGCTGTGCTTGCTTGACCTTCCTCCAATCAATTTACATATTTCCAACACCATGACCAGTCCATCATTTCCACTGTATTTTTGGGGTTTCAAAAGGGTCTGTGAACTGCAGGGGTCTGGGGTCGTGTATTTGTCACGACAGCGGCACAGCAACGGTGAATTGCCCGCTTCGCTGCCATCATCACGAATGCAAGGACCTTGACGATGATTTAGTGTGAGGTCATGTACTGTCCTTGTGTGTGTACGTGCTGTGCTTTGTGTTGCTGTGAGTGAAAGTGAGGGAGTGAGTGAAAGTGAGGGAGTGTGTGTGTGTGTGTGTGTGAAAGTGAGGGTGTGAGAGAGTGAGGGTGTGCTGTGCTGTGTTGCGTGTGTGTGCGTGTGTGCACCTTTTGCATAATGCTGGTTGACGCCTGCCGTCCCAGGCTGTAGCGTTCTTGTGTGACCTCTTTTGAGCGTTGTTCCTGTCCGATCTTTGCTTCTTGTCATTCACGTCCTACCCCTTGAAGCCGCTTCCTGGCTTCCTGCTTTTCTGAGTTTGCATGCGTTGTTTGAGTCGTGTGTTGTGGTTGCTTGTTGACTGTGCTGCTCAGGCTTTTGTTATTCCATCAACCATACAGTTGCCATCCGTTGTAGTTGAAGTGAGACATGACAGTTGCATGGTGACTGGTTTAACAAAACCCTCACATGACACAGCAAACGCGAATAAGTGGCAGTTGCGGGACAAAGGGAGAGAGAGGCAAGTGCTGTGCTTGCTTGACCTTCCTCCAATCAATTTACATATTTCCAACACCATGACCAGTCCATCATTTCAACGACACTTCAGTCGAGCTCAACGTGGAATGCAAACATGGAGCCAGACTCTGACAGCTTCTTGTGGGCCGGTGCATATGCAGCGAGAAAGCTGCGGTTGTCGCTGGCAAACTGACGAAAGTGCCTGGCATATTCTTCCTTGGCGACGGCACTGTCGGTTGGCAACCAGAGCAGTGCCTTGTCTGACTTGTATGCTTGTTGGAAAAAGGCGTTGTCAAAGCTGAGCCAGTTGCTCGTCCACGACTGACCACCAGGCATACCAATACCCGCGTGTCCATCTCCGCGTGCAACGTGTGTTGAGCGTGTGTGTGGTGTGCCTTTGTCGTTGCCGTAGCCATATTCTGTGACGCCGCTGCGCTCCTGTGTGCACATGCGTACGTGTTTGTGTCATGATGTGTGCATGTGTGTGTGTTTGTGTCATGGTGTGTGTATGTGTGTGTGTGTGAGGGTGTACGGAATGGACAGAGAAAACGAAAACAACATATGTATGTGAGGGTGTATGTGAGGGTGTGGGTGCGTGTGCGTGAATGAAAACAGAAAGGAACTCCGACCACCATTGGCCACGTGTAAGAGGAAGTGCGGCATCACGTGCGCGTGGTCAGTTCATCGTGCACTTTGGCTCACGCGCGTTATTTCCACAAAGGCAATCGCGAGGGTGAGAGCAGCATCAACACGCACACGATGTACCCACACCTTGAAAGCACGCCCAATTGTGTGAGCGCCGATGAGAGCAACGGTTTCCTTGGGCGTCATGCCCAGTCGATCAAACACCTGTTGCGTGTGCGGTGGGTGTGATGGAGTCGATAGCGGATGGGCGGGTCGTGAGAGTAAGACCACAACTCAGGTGCACAGTTACACGAAAAATTGGGCCTGCATGTCGCCATAGACACACAGCAGCTTGCTGGCTTATCTGACCACAGAAGTCACGATCAGCAGGCAAAGCAAGCCACACGCGCACACACACACACATGCAAACACCACACGGCACCACACACCATAACCACACACACACACACACACACACACACACACACACACACACACACAAAACCACCCAAACACATGCACACACCTTCCGAACGTGGTCGAGAGGGGAAGCTGGGTTGGCGTCTGGCAGTTTGCCTTCTTCTGCTGGTACATCGGCATCAATACGGCCGTAGCGCATTGGAATACGCGGGCCGCCGGCGAGCTCCACGGCGAGCGCACCCGCCAGCTGAATGAGATCTGCCCACGACACCATCGGGTGCTTTGTATGAAACGGTTGAAGGAAGCGGACCGCCTTTTCAAGGCCCGCGTTGGCTGCGTGCTTCAGCTCAGGGGACAGCCGGATGCTGCCGTTTGCGCCCCCGCAGTCTGGAAAGCAGGGGACATGGCGGTTGTATGTGCCTGCGTCATGCCATGCCAAGCGCAGCATGATTGGGTGGCAGTTTCGTTTGTCAATGAAGGTCCTGAGTTCCTTTTCAAGCTTGCGAAGCTCCTCCCTGTATTCACTGAGTGTTGTTGCTGCTGCCACCGCAGCAGTTGATGGTGCCGAATCTCTTCTTGTGTTGTTGCTGCTACTGCTGGTGGTGGTGCTGTTGTTTGCACCCTCGTTGCTGTCCTTGCCCACCCGCTTCCTCGACGCCTCAACATGGCGCAGCATCACAGCGGCTCGCTCGCTCATTGTCGTCTGGCTGGCTGATCAAAGTTGGGAAAAATATTGAACACCGTTTTAAAGTTTCGGCATTGCAGTGGCAGGACTTGACTTGTTGCTTGCTTTGGATTGTGTGCTGGCACGCACCCGCCTTGAGGCTCATCATCAATCATCAGCAGCATCATGGCAGCGACGGCGAGTGGCGGTGGAGGGTTGATTGGGTTGTTGTGGGGAGCGAGAGCTGGGCAAGTGTCACTGCGGTCTTTGGCTAATGTTGTGGTCAAGTTGGGGAACGACCTGCCGCGTCTCAAGTTCCTGACAGAGGCTGCTCCAGACGACATTCTGTGCGTGCGCCTTCATGTCGCGTGTGTGCGTGTGTGTGTGTGTGTGTGTGTGTGTGTGCGTGCGTGCGTGCGTGTGTCTGTGTGTGTGTGTGTGAGTGTGTGTGTGTGCGTGGGCATGGAGTTGTGTCGTTTCCGCTACCATATGATGCCAGGCACACACACACACACACTCTCTCTCTCACTCACATGCGCTCGCACTTGCACACACACACACACACACAACTACAGGGAAGAACCGCTGCAGGCGCGCAAGCAGGCCGTGTCAGTATGGAATGATTTCATCCATGGGGAAGCCATGGAAGATGAGCGCCAAGCTGCTCCGATGATGACACAGCGACATATTGGGTGCATGGCGACAGCGTGCTTGGCAGCACGTATGTTGACGGAACACATCTGGCTGCTCAGCAACAGCACGCTCTTTGGTGACTGCAGCGACATTGCTGACTCACAGGGCACCGCCAAGAGAATACGCCAGCAAGCAGCGCAGGACCTGCCGCCTGACGCCATTGCTTCACTGGATGACCTTGTTCGAGACCCTGCCGAGAACCCGCTGCAGCCCGCACCGCGCCCTGACCTCTGCCATGACGCGCTTGGCGACATGCTTCGAACGCAAGGCCACAAGGTCGATGAGGAGAACATGCTGAGGCAGCCAGATGCGCTGCTCGTACAAGACATTGGCAACCTGCGCAACCTCCTGGATGTGGTCATCATGGATGTGTCCTCGCTTGCTGTGGAGAAGCACGGCGTGGCGCCTCATGTTCACATCGACGACAGCTTGCGCTCTCTCCCTTCTCCGCTTGTCTCCATTCCCATGTATCTCGACACGTTGTTGCGCGAGCTCCTCAAGAACGCATTCAGTAAGTGTCTGGTCCGTCACAGTTTTGTCAAAGATGCGCGTGTCGTTGCTTTTCTGTGTGTGTGCACTATGCATGTGTACACATGTGTACGTGTGCATTTACTTCACGGAGTGTATATTTGTTACTTGCTGGTGAGGGCGACGACAACTCGCAAGATCACGCCATCTCACACCAGCTGTACAATGCGATTTTACCGCGTCACAGCCGCTACGATATCCAGGCATGGCATTGACGCAGACATGGCGCCCCCAATTGAGATTCGCCTGTCCAGGTTCAACCACCAGCTGGCAAAGATTGCCGTCGTCGACTCGGGTGAGGCACTCTCGCGCTCGTAGTTTTGTGTGTGTGTGTGTGTGTGTGTGTGTGTGTGTGTGTGTGTGTGTGTGTGTGCAAATATATGTGTGTATATATGCGCATATGTGTGTGTGTGTGTGCGTGTATGTATGACGGACGTCAGTTGACGGGTAATTTAACCACTCGTATTGCCCACGTACGCGTCTCCTTCTTCCCCTGCGTATCACCACCAGGCTCCGGCGTTCCTTTGCGCATCGAACGCTCCATCTTCGACTGGTTCTTCACGTCGCAGGCAGCCAACAAGAACCCCTCGTACACCTTCTCTGGCGACTTTGGCGGCGTGCTGGCGGTGAGCACATCTCACATGTGTGTGTGTATGTGTGTGTGTGCGTGTGTGTGTGCGTGTGTGTGCGTGCGTGTGTATGTGTGTGTGTGTTGTTTGCACCTGATTCAAACAACATCCGGTGACAAACCCGTAGCAACAACACATGCTCACGACGTGCATGCATGAACACGCCAACCACTCCCTCTTGTCATCAGGGCGAGGGTGTGGGGCTTCCCCTCTCGCGCACATATGCGCAGCTGCTTGGTGGCGACTTGGCGCTGAGTCATGTGTATCGTCCGTCCGGCGCTGTCTTCCACCTCCTGCTGCCCACTCTCACCTCTGCTGATTAGCGTGACACATGCTGGTGCTGCTGACAGTTTGCTACTTCCTCCAAACGTACAGCTCGCAGCCGTTTGCTTCGCTGCAGTTGACGCATTTTGAGCTACAATCGCCAGCTTGCTGTGACTTGTTGTTATGTTACACCTCCCCCCCTTGCCACGCTGGTGCTTCGACGCCTCGCTCTCCGCAATGATTGTGGCGTGTGGTGCGTCGACTGGTGGCCATTGTTGTTATTCTTGCTGAAGGTGACCGTTCACGTGTCCAGTCCACGACAGGGGTTTGAGCAATCACAGCAAAACAGAACGAATGTTATGCCATGTGGTGTGGCATGACAGGACACGCAGAGGGAACAGAAAGGGAACGTGACCTTCACCAAAAGTCGCACGTAACACGTTGGCATGGCAATGTGGGGGGAAACGCAGACGAAGGGGAAGAACAGCAACGAAGCGAATGCACTCCGCGAATCAAACACAGCGTCAGGGACAACGGAAAACGGGTTGTTGTTGTTGTTGTTGTTGTTGTTGTTGTTGTTGTTGTTGTTGTTGTTGTTGTTGTTGTTGTTGTTGTTGTTGTTGTTGTTGTTGTTGTTGTTGTTGTTGTTGTTCAGCGGACAATGTTGAGACGATACGCCCAGCGCCACGTGGACGAGGCGTCGAGCGGGAACAGGTGGTGGAACACAGCCAGCGTCCCAGCAGGAATCGTCTGTGCATGCACACGCATGTGCATGTGTGTGTGTGTGTGTGTGCGTTGATGTAGGTGAGTGTGGGCGCGCATACATCTGTGCATGCGCATGGGCACGTAGTTGTTGGTGTGCAAGTGGGATTGATGATGCACCACGGCGTCGATGCAACGCGCTTCATCGTGACTACGTGATTCACCTTTTCCACGGCGAGAGAGTCTGAAGTCGTGCCAACATTGTCCGACTTGTTGCAGTCGACAGTCACCTGGCAGTTTTCAGCATAGTTGCTGCAAACAAGGCCAATGCCAAGCGTGGGTGAGCATGTATGTTTGTGTGTGCGCGTGCGTGTGAACATGTGTGTGTACGTGTGTGTACATGTGTGTGTGTGTGTGCACGTGTACGTGCGTGTGTGTACACATGTGCGTGCGAATGTGTACATGTGCCGGTGTACAGCCGGCCAAAACACCACACATGTACACCTCCACACAAGCACACACGCACACCTCTTGACGGCAAGGGTGGTGCCGGCGGTTCCCCGTGAGAGCTGATAGACGATGAGGTTGCCGTTGTCGTACTCCGTGGGCACACCCGTCGCAGACACCCACTGCAGTTGCGCCATCGTGCGCAGTGAGGATGGGGTACATTGGGACGAAAACGGTAGAGGGGTAGACGAACGAGTCAGGCACACACACACACATGCACATACACATACACAGACACACACACACACACACACACCACACACACACACACAGACACAGACACACACACACACACACACACACACACACACACACACACACACACACACACACACACACACAAACACAAGCACAAACACCTCACCTTTGTGAGGGCGTCCTCGTGAAGGGCTGAGTCGTAGGGCGTGCGCTTGAGGGTGCAGGCTGCCGTCTCCGCATGCACGGAAACAATGAACCGGCGCTCGTCCACGAGATGAAACTTCTCGTTGTAGCCGAGGTTCCTGCACAAGAAAGAGGCGCACAAATTCCGGTGAATGCGGGGAAGTGGTGCAGATCGTAAAGGAAAAATAGGACCACGCATATTCACACACGCACACACGCACACACGCACACACGCACACACGTACACACATACAGACACACGCACATACACACGTACACGCACCTGATGACTTTGAGCACTTGGTCCTCTTTGAGCTGGGCGAGGAAATCGCGGAATCCGTCGCGTGTGATTCCCGTGTCGGTGCTGTCGTACTCTTGCAGCAGCGCAGCAAACCCGTCCTCACTCTGGGTCGGTTGGTTCCGGGGATGCACACGTGCGAATGTGTGGGGTTGAATGCGTGAACAAGGAAGCAAAGCAAAGGGGGGGGGAATGGAGAAAAGGGGGAAGGGGGAAAGAGGAAAGAAAGGACAGAGGGTATTGTCGCCCAAACGACAACAGCACCACCTACATGTGTGTATGTATGTGTTCGTGTGTGTGCACGCAGTGCATATGACGCACCAGGTCTTTGTTGAATGCCTTTTGGTACAGCTCAGAGAATTCACGGAAGGCGAGGAAGCCGCTCATATCCTGTCCAGACAATGGTGTGGCACGTGTGAGAGTGAGTTTGCGAGTTTGTGTACGTGCGTGTGTGTGTGTGTGCGAGCGTGTGTGTGTGTGTGTGAATGAAAATATGGGTGAGTATGTGCGTGTTTGTGCTCACGTGTCGTGCAAGGCCGTGTAACGTGCACAAGGCGCAGAGCGCACGCGTACAAAGCAGCACTGCACCCATCGCTTCACGGCACTGACCTCATCGTAGCGCCGGAAAATCTCGGAGATGATCTGGCGGAAACCGGTGGTGAAACATTCCTCGGCCTCAAACATCTGTTGCCCAAGGAGAGCCGGGGGAAAGGGGAGCAGGGGGTGTCACAGTTGTTATATGGCGATGATGATGGTGGTGGTGAGTGTGGCTGTGTGAGTTGAGAAGCAGCACTCTGAACACACGCACACACATGTTGAAGACATGACGAGAGCCGTCCAGAGCAGCCGTGAGCGGCGAGGCAGCGATGGGAACCCACCTTGCTGAGCGAGCGCGATTCCTTGGCTTCGCGACGATGACTGTATGTGACAAACATGGAATGAGTGGACCGTGACTTGGGAATGAATGGTCAAGCGCATACACAGGCACGTGCACACGGGCTGGCGAACACACCGGCAGAGCATACACACACACATAAAGACACACATAAATACACACACACACACACACATACACACACACACATACACACACACATACACACACACACATACACACACACACACACACAGAAATGCGCGCGCGAACAAAGAGTAGCGTACCCTGAGGTGAAGGGCACGATCATGTAGGAGCCCGGGGCGAGCGTTGGGATGTTGAGCTGGGCCTCCCGCGACCAGCCGCCACCGCACGCGTCAACAAACGCAAGCGAGCCGTCCTTCTCCTTGCGAAGAACAACAAAGCCGAGGTCAACATAGGGCTGGCCATGCAAGATGCGCTCGTCATCCTGGTGGATGGACACCCACGCCTCCGTTGCATCCTCAACGGTCATGCTGATGAAGGGGAAGGACACGTCGCTGCCACTGTACTGGAAGCGGCCCTTGATGCGGAAGTCCTTCCACGCCGTGCCACTCTCTGTGATGGAAGTTGGAGGCGGGCATTGTGACGATGAGGTGTTCAGCGTGGTGGCGGTAGTGGTGTGCAGTGAGCGCGGTGTGGTGTGCGTGCACATGATGGAGATGAGGTGCGCAAGTGCGAATGCACTCGCGTGCTTGATCTTGATGTCGGTGTGCGAGCGTGTGGTTCTGTGGTTGCGTGCACAAGGCGCCAGAGCCATCCAGCAAACCAGCACAAGCAGTACGTGCACGCATGTACACATGCATGCATCAACGCTCATCCACAACACGAATGGGGCCGTACTGGAGTGCACGTGGCAGATGTTGACTTTGGAAAAGTGCTCACGGAAATCCTGAGTTGGGACAACAGCAGAAGGAGGGAGTGAGGAGGTGTGTGTGTTGTGGGGGGGGGAGGGTTGGGGAGAGTGGAAGCGAAGCAGTACACTACGTCAGAGCATGATGCACGTGTAAGCGCTGCCAGCAGCAGGTGCCAACATCAGTCACGCTGCAATGATGGTGCAACAGCTGCACCTGGTATGACATCCAGAAGAGCCCGTCTTTGTCGTTGAATGTGGCGCCAACTTCTTTCACAATGTCATCGCTGCACGGGTGGCGCGTCACAGTGCGTGTATGAGTGCGTGTATGAGTGCGTGTATGGGTGTGTATGAGAGCGCGCGTGAAAAGGTGTGCGTACATGAGAGAGAGAGAGTGTGTGTGTGAGCCGAACCAGGCATGCCATTCTGCTTTCACGACACAAGAGTTTTTTCGCTTCCTCAAGTGTTCACGCCAAAACACAAGCGGAACACAACGACTGGGAAGAGCGAGGTGGCCTCAGTGCACAGCAGCATTCACTCACGTCCAGAGCGAGCTGTTGTCACTCCAGTCGCCCTTCCACTCGAATTCGCCCCAGGGGTTTCGCAGACATACAAGGCGGTGCCCCTGACGCGGCGCAAGGATTTGCGTGCGCGTGTATGTGTGTATGTGAGTGAGTGAGTGTATGTTTGTGTGTGTGTGTGAGTGAGTGTGAGAGAGAGTATGTGTGTGTGAGTGAGTGAGTGAGTGAGTGAGTGAGTGTGTGTGTGTGTGTGTGTGTGAGTGAGTGAGTGAGCGAGTGAGTGAGTGAGCCAGCTTGTGTTTGTTTGGAGAAAGCGGTGTCGTAAGGACACAGGTGGACGCTCACCTTTGACGTCTGCTTCGCTGACAGCATCGTGTACGCATGGCCTGTTTTTGTGTCATGGCATGACAGCCGTGAGCCCACAATCCCATGGCCATGAGAAGCAGCAACCAGCACCAGCACCATCTCATCCCCTCGTCCTCCTCGTCCCGCCCTCCTCCTCATCATCGCCACCAAGCAGCACCTGACACGAGGCCTGGCCCGCCGAGATCGCGACCAGCCACGTTCGACCACTTGTCCTCTCCGGGAACGCTGAAAGGGCGCAGCATTACACAGGCGCACAAGACGCGGGCGTGGGGGGGGGTTGAGGTCGCGCTTGGCAGATGTGTGCGAATGCGCACGATGACCCGAAACACGAGCGCCAAAATGCACACATCCAACACATGCGTGCACTGCCGGAACACGAAGCATGCATGTGTGTCGGTGTGAACACATTGCAACCCAGCGCGCTCTCCCACAATACCTGCATGTCATGATGTTGTCGCGCTCGTCTTCGGCCTTGAGCATCTCCCACAGGTCCTCTGTGCCCGTCTCGTCCATCTTGAAGTCGCCTGGAGTCAGGGCAACGGCAACAGCACCCACGCATATTGAGGGAGAGGGCAGAGGTGGAGAGGTGCAATTTTGGTGTTGTGTGTGTGTGTGTGTGTGTGTGTGTGTGTGTGTGTGTGTGTGTGTGTGTGTGTGTGTGTGTGTGTGTGTGTGTGTGTGTGTGAAGAAGTAGAGGAAGGAGGTTGGCCCGGTGAGTTGTGCGGAAGGAAAGGCACCAGCAGCATCTTCACGAATCTTCTTCGTTCACACATGACGCATTGCGCTCTCCTGTTGTCACGCCATCTCCCACTGTTTGTGCTGTTGGCTGAGGCGCACTACGTACGTGTTGGGCAGCCGGTGATGTCCATCAGCGCTTCGCACGCGAGCCTGCAAGCAACAACACAAAGGTGGAAATGAGAATGGTTGAACACATATAGCATTGTTGTTTAAGTTGTTGTTGTTTAAGTTGTTGTTGTTTAAGTTGTTGTTGTTGTTGTTGTTTAAGTTGTTGTTGTTTAAGTTGTTGTTGTTTAAGTTGTTGTTGTTGTTTAAGTTGTTGTTGTTGTTGTTTTTGTTGTTGCGTTCTCGAGACGTGCGCAACAACAACACAGGCAAGGCAAGGTCCAAGCTACATCGAGTGCGTGCATGCAAAGGTGCGTGCATGCAAAGGTGCCGTACCCGCCACGGAGCATATCGTAGCAGCCGCAGATCTTGGCAAAGGCCTGCACATCACACATAAGCAGGAAGGGCACGAGCGGGGATGGCGGTAACAATGTGTTAGAACAGCACACGCGTTGATGGGCAAGATACAAGGAGCAGACATGAGACGGCTAATAGTAATGCATTCACAAGTGCACACGTAACACCAGCATGCATGCCCAGTACTGGTACCTTCTCAAGAAGGAGGACCCAGAGCTCGTTGCCGTGGCTGCGAGAAAACACGGGGCCTGCGCCCGCAAGGTGGACGCGCACACACGGGGAGCAGAGTTGATGGTTATGGTGGAGATACTTTGTGGCAATTGTGAACAAATACGCGTGGGTGCAATGCATGCATCCACCAGACAACAAAAAACAAACACACACACACACAGACAGACAGACAGACACACACACACACGCAGACACACACATGCGTATATACAGACACAGACACGCGTATACACAGACACACACACACACACAGACACACACACACACACGCGCGCCTCCAGGGCCTCACCTTGTCCGGGGAGGCAGGGAAAGTAGTCGTCGAGGCGAATGAGCCACCACTCGCCGTTCTTGCACAGGCGGACCTGGTAGGCGCCGACGGCGTTTCGCGTCTGCGTGGCTGTGGATCGCGGCGACTGAAAGATCTTCAAGATGCGCTCCTCCCGCTCAGCGATTGACGCGAGCGCACACATGAGCCTGTGATACACATGATAGAGATTGGTTGGTTGGTTGGTTGGTGTAAGCTGCTGGTAGGAAACATCACACGCAACCATCCGGTCAGACAACACACACACAGACACAGACAGACAGACAGACAGACACACAGACAGACAGACAGACAGACAGACAGACAGACACACACACACACACAGACAGGCAGACAACACACTCGCACAGACACACCAGCAATCTCCGAGACGGCCTTGCTTGATGTCGGCTGGCTCGACGCCCTTGACGAACACATCGTAGTCCTTTCCCGCAAAAAACTCGCTGCATTACACATCACAACATACAAACACACATAAAAACACCCACATACACACACATGCACACAGCTGGCGTGAATGTACGCGGCAATGATGGCGCACTTCAAGCTGTCAACTGCAAGAAACGAGCGGTTGCTCACGCGAACGTTGCGACGCGCAGCAATGATACATCCCTGTCACACATGCCATGTCACATCACGTGTCATGCTTGTCATAGCCACACCTTGCGCGGCGCCACACGATTGGCGTGTCGGGATCGCGGTACTCGCTGTCCTCAGTGAAAATCTGCGATTCTGCCGGCAAGAATTCCGTGTCGATGAACTTGACGGAATACTGGTGGACCGCACGTCCAGCACGGGCGGCGACGGTGATGATGATGGGTGCAGATGAAAGTGAAGAAACAGCGGGCGAGGAATGAACATGAGGCAGTGAGGGGACTGGGTGCACGCGTCATTGTTCAGCTGTCAAGGGTATACCATACGGCATGGAAGACACACACACACACACACACACACACACACACACACGCACACACACACACGCACGCACGCACACACACACACACACACACACACACACACACACACACACACACACACACACACACACACGCAGGCACGCACACACACACACATCACACGCACACACATCACAATTACACGGCAGCTAAACCAGGGCCGGGGGAATGGAACACAAAGCGATCATGTGTGGAGCACAGCAGGCCAACCTTCTTGCACTCTGTGATGAGTTCGCCGAGGGAGAGGCGATCGTCGCCATCGAACAGCGGCGTCTTGCGGTACGCCTGCAGGGGAGGGGAGGAGGAAGAGGACAAGGGATTGACGTGCAGTTTGCGCCCCGCAACCACCAAAGGTCAACAAAGTGGAACAACAGGAGACACAGCGGCCATCTGCCAAACTGATGTTAACTACGCACCCGCATCACACATCACACATCACGCAGATCACAGACATCACAGACATCACTCAAGCTACGGCCGAATGACAAATGTGCAGCCCACCGAATGCCATCGTGAAACACAAAACCGCACCTCAAGCTCGTCAGCAATGCGCTGCTGCTGTTCGCGGATTTTCTTCTGCTGATATTCGCGGGAGGGCGGCACTCGCTTCCAAGAGAACTTGCTGTTCAGCGACCACGCAGCCCTGGCCACGCGCACGCAAAGCCGAGGTTGGTGTTGGTGTTGTGGTGACAGGTTGAGTTGATGAGAAAGTGATGCGTATTGAAGAAATCGGAATCAGAATACGTGAAAAGCGAGTGCACACAAACACATACACACAACAAGCACACATGCACACACACGCGCACACAGGTTGACACACACACGCGCACACACGCACACACTCACACCCACACACACACGCGCGCGCGCACACAACCAACACACACACACGCACGCACACACACACACAACCAACACACTTTGGGTTTGAGATGGAGCACTGGCCGATGAATGTTGTGTTTTCTGGCTCGACCGTCTTTGTTGCCACGAGCGAGCCGTCCGCAAAGGCGATGTTGGCACTGCCTTCAATGCTCAGCGTAAACTCAAGCGCCTCGCACAGTGTGTTCTCAACCTCAAAGTCAAACCTGCACACACGCGTGGCGTGTTGGCAGTGAGTGACACATCAGTGTGTAGTAAGTGATACGTGTGAGAAATACATGTGAGTGTGTGAGTGTGAAAGTGTACAACAGTGCAGAGCTGGTCGTGTAGCTGGCACATGCGCGCAAAAACAAGTTCACACACACACACACACACACACACACACACACACACAGGTTCACACTCACACACACACACACACACACACACACACACACACACACACACACACACACACACACACACACACACACACACAGGTTCACGCAAGCAAGAAGTGTGCCTGACTTTGTGGGGTTCTGGTACTGCGTTCGCACGAGCGTCACGCCTTCCTCCAATGGCTTGCTGCAAGATGAAAGACAACACAGGTGACAGAAGGTCAGAGAGAGCGAGAGAGAGAGCGAGAGAGAGAGAGAGAGAGAGAGAGAGAGAGAGAGAGAGAGACGTGGGCGGTTTCAGCACGAATCACACAGCGCCCGGACCTTCCGCACACACTCGCAGGCAGACAAAGACACCATCTTGAGCGGGTACCGGTGGACGTTTGGCGCTGCTGCGTCGTCACGTGGGCTGCGAGGGGTGGAAACATCCTTCTTCCGGCGCTGGTCCTCGGGGTACCTGGCGGTACGGGGAACGAAGGCACATTTGGGGAAGGGGGCACGTGAAGAAGAGGACACACACACACACACACACACATACACACACACACACACACACACACACACACACACAACAATGCACACAGGCGCACACACACAACAATGCACACACACACACACACACACACATCAACAACAACAACAACAACCTCCCCCCCCCCAACTCACGGGATATCAATCTCGCGCGGGTGGATGTGCGGGTCCGGGCGTCGGTCCTCGTCCGCCGGCCGCTGCGGTGCAACCGTCACGTCCGGCAGCTTTGGGCCGCCAGCCCCGTTGTCGGCATCTGGGGTGGTGTTAGAATCGTTGTCACCGCGAACGGATTTGGGGGCTGAGCCGGCCGGGACCTGACGGGTGGCCGTCCAGTTGAACTTGCATGCAAGCTTCCAGCCCTCTGTTGCGTGTGGAGTGCATTGCGTGAGTTGCGTGGGTGGATGGGTTGCGTGA